GCAAATGTTCCAAATTCCGCGTAACAAAGTACGCTATCTTTAATTAATTTAGGCGCTGCACATTTATTATTTTTAATACATTCAATATTTTCTTGCCACAAAACATGATAGTTAGATGTAACATTTAGATAGATAGATATAACATTTTTATTTAGTTTATATTACACGTAACTTATATCACTCACACTATGTAAATATACGCATGCGATGATATGATAATGACGTATTTTCTTTTAGTTTCCGTGACGTTATCTTCGCGATAGTGCACGGCTTCGGCCGAAGGGGCATTAGTTTGCGCATCCGTGCGAAAACTAATTAGTGAACGCTAATTAGCTGCCTAATGTCCCGGCTAGCTGGGCCACTCGGTAACGGTTAAGGAACTTCCGTACGATAGAGATAAATTCGTTATGCTGCATGTGCACAGTTTAACTTTCCACGCACGTTTGCGACAAACGAAAACTACGAACTGCCCACTCGTCTTGCCGTACCCCACCCTTGACTTCCGCCGACTCCTTTCGAGATTCCTTTTTCTCTTACTTCCGCTAACGTCAATGAGAAACGACTTGACCGAGTACGTGACGGCCACGAAATTGATTCACGAGTGAAAAGACTATATTGCTTTATTGGTGCCAAGAAAAGAAGGACACAACGTCGAAACTTGGATAACAATTGAAATCGGGGATGGCGTTCGATATCTCGTTCGCGAGTTATAGAGAAAGAGGGGAGAATTGTTTCGTGAAATTTTCGAAATATCGCAATTGTAGGAACTTGAGAGCTATCACTTCTCGGCATCATCTCTTTTTCGACAATTGATTTCATCTCGCGTCTTAAGATATCTTCCTCGATTCGTTTGAGTTATTTTCATTTCTAGAATAATAGAGTTCGAAAACGCGTGGTAGAGAGAGAAAGAGAGAGAAAAAATGAGCTCATTGAAAAAAATAGTGTCTTTAATTAAATTCAGACTCTGCGACGAAAGAAAGAAGAAGAACGTAAGGCCTTTACGATATGGTCAGTGATTCTTGTGAAAATGGCTGTAGCGAATAAAATATTTCATGTAAAATAATAAATTATAAAATAAATATTACTTTAGTATTTATTTATAATTTTATTATTTTATAATAAATTATAAAAATTTATAAAAGTCATAGTATTCCATCTTCAAAAAAAATTAATCAATTTTTCGTAATACATTGATTCGCTCATTGTACTCCGTCACCTCAAAATTATCATTCGATACGGATCTTCCAATCGATTAAGAGTGATTGAGAGCACTTGCTACGAATGCTTGAAAGAGGATGGAAACGACCGCATTACTGGTCTAGATGTGTCGGCAGTAGACAAACGCCGCGATGGTTTTCAATGCAAATGATTCATTCGTTACGTCTGTCGACAGCACTCGCCGTAAGTTGACGATCGTTCAATCGGGGTAACGAGAGCAAATTGCGAACAGCGCGATACTCGTTTCTCCTCTTTCGTGAAATGAACATCACGATCCATTCGAGCCAATACTTGACGGCGGCTTAATGAGAACCAGACTGAATCCAGATATAAATAACTCATTTACCGATCCGATGAATTATTTAAGCTGTTTTACGAGAGCACCGCCCTGAGTGATACTCCGTGTTGAGCGTCTGTATTTGGTTATCAGATGTTCTGCCGACAGATCTAGAAGAAAAAAGGGAGAAAAGAAGAAAGAAAAAGAAGCGAATGAAAAGATAAAACTTTCATGTCCTTTATTACCTTTCTAGATGGCAATGAAATGAAGTGGAAGATAAAAAAGGAGATAAAGAGGAGCGGCGAACAAACTCGAGATAAAAGAAAGGTAATATTTACCGCCAAAGAAGACAGCAGGCAACACGGCAAAAGGGTGTTTTGGCCGTTAACAATAATAAACGAATCACTTTCTATATATGAGCAGATGATTTCTCTGAAACTTCTCTGGTATCGACCATCATATGATGATAGAAATAATGAGTGCTAATGCACAAGGAGGTAGTTAAAGAGATCATCAAAGTGAATAAGTGCCATTTGCTCCTCATACAATTAGGAAAATTGGAGTTGAAAATTGGATTCAGAAAGCAACATTGAAAAGAAAGTGGTATTACCAATTGAAAAAATAATATAATTTTACTTTCAAATTGCCAATTTTCGATATACTTTTAAAAACATTATATGAAATAAAGGGAATAAATATTTGTTATATAATAAAATATTATATGCTTTCTGCCTAATTTATTTTTAAATAATAAAATAAAAAAGAATTTTTAAAATAACGAGAGAATGAGTAAACAGATAAATTTGCGAGATTATGATTTCATTGTTTTATGAGAAAATAACAGACACGATTTCGATCGCGTAATATTAATGTGAACATTATTCGGAAATTTTCTGGAATTTTTTACGAGATATTTGTAGATTTCGACGATCTTTACACATCGCTTCGCACGGTAAACGTCGAACCATTTAAAAAGTCGAGTCTTCAAGCCAAACGATGTAAGCCCTTGGTGACACCAATCGTGACAGCGGGAAGCATCAACGCGATCCGGAAACGAAGAGGGAAAGAAAGAGGAAGAAACGCTTAAAAGAGGCCTGCGAAAATGGGAGTGAGGTCATCCTCTTTTCAGGCAGGATTCACAACGCAGATGGAAGGCGAAACGATCGAATGTAATATTGAGGGGGGGAAGAATCTTTCGTTTCTGGAAAGGCTCAATTTGTCGCCACAATTTCACAGGCATCGCGTGTCAAGAATGCCGCTAAAAGATCGACTATTATTTTTCGATCTATTCCGCGTCGTCTAATTCAGTATCTTTATTAAATTAACGAAGATAGAGAAGGAATTCTATCATTACATCGATCAATTGCTCGGACGTAATTCTTATCATGTTTCGGATTTCATGTGTGAGTGTGTGTGTGTGTGTGTGTGTGTGTGTGTGTGTGTGTGTGTGTGTTTTGTATATGTATTTTGTATCTAAATATCTTGAATTTACATAAAAGAAAAGTGTGAATAATTGGACAGCCATTCTCAGCTTTTTTAAATTATTTTTAGATATCTTTCTCTCAAACTTTAATACAAAGAATGATAAAAATGATAGGGTGTCTTCCACAAAAATTTGAGAATTTTTTCTTCTAATAGAATGAAATAAAGACATTTTACGAACGCTTTTAATTGTCTTGGAATTTTGAGTTAATATTGCTATTACATAAAGTAGCTATTGCTATTATATAAAGGAAAAAGGTAAAAGGTAAAAAATTATATTCTTTTCCATTTAATTTTTAATTTTGATATTTTGCATGAAGAACTAGCATTATTGCTCTACCAAATTATAGAATACCAACAAAAAGAGATTAAAAAAAATTAGAAATATTTCTTTAAAAAAAAAGGTCGAGAGACATAAGGAATTAATGGATAAAAATGACAAGTCTGACAGAGAAAGAGAAGCAAGACGAAGAATGATGGATGATATAGAAACAAAAAGAAAGAAAATTAGTAAAGTAACCGTCGATTCTTCTTTCTCGAGCCCACCCTCTTTTCTCGAGGAAAAGCCTTCATTAGCCTTGTGATAATTGGCCACGCCCGTAACTCATGTTCGCACAAGACGCCCGCCTGTCTCTAACAACTTATCCCCCAAGACCAATCATGATAAGCTTCTTGAATTCAGAATTTGATGAACTGAAGAAGGGATATTCCACTGACTGAGAATTTTAGAAGATTTGATCGATATTTATCGGAAAAATACACAGGTCTCAGAAAAACAAAGAAAATATCTATCGTTTAAATTTTTCGTGATATAAATTTGGATTGTTTCTTTATTCATTCTATGTTTCCGACAGCAGTTTTTATCACTAGATTGCATTTTAATCGCGAAAGCAATAAGTGCAGTATTTCTAAATTTTTAAGATTCTGCTTAAAAAATTATTCTGCCTAGCATTTTCCTGAAATTTGTGTATTTTAATAAAAAAAATTTATTCAAAATTCACGCGTGTCTCTGAACGTACATTCATTTTCTTGCAAACTGCGAAAATTTTACTTTTTCTATATGTTACGCACGTGCGAATGATTTTTCGATATTATTAGATTTCAAGATGATATCCATGTTTGTGCGCTATACGCGTCGCTAGTAATTTTTTCTCGAAGTTATTTCCACGCATTGATTTATAATTCCTTCGATAGTCTGGCGATTCCCACGAGGCCTACTAATCTATAACTTTTGCAAAGTACTATGGTCTTTACCCTACTCAATACTTAAAATGGCCAGCAGTTTTAAGAAAAAAGTTATGCGCGTTTTTTCCTAACTTTTTTCCAGATGACACGCATCTTGAATTATTCAAGCATAAATCTCAATAAAAATTCACGATGATTGTCATAATGTTCAATAAATCATGATAAATCTTAAAATCGATAAATTTTAGAACTAAACTTGGATTTCCAATAAAATTGTGAGATTTGAATACCTATTTGCGATTAAAAATATATCTCTAATCTTTATTAGTAATACATGCGCTTGGTAAGTAATTCATTTAATTTGTTTGACTCATCTAGATCTCTCGATCTATGTAAAGACATTTATAATGGTGTAATCAAATCTCCCGAATTATTTTGATAAAATCTTAATTCGATGAGAACGGAAATATCTACCGTGTAAATTATTTAAAGTCAATTAAATCGAATTTTCTCTGAAAATGTAGAAAAAATATTTCAAATAGATTAATAATATTCTTCTTTTTTAATCTGTAAAAACCATCTTTTTACTGTGTAATTCTCTCAGTAATATAGCCAATATTTTACTAACCTTTTTATTAAAAAAAATGCTCAATATTTAGTGATTTTATGTATAATAAAATATTATTTAAAATTTACCCTGACAAGAAATGAATCATTATGTTCATTAGAATATAAAACTAGATAATTAAGACGCAAACTCTTATGTAAAATCTTAAAATTAAAATTATCGCTTATTTCAATTTCATTTTCTATTATAATAGTTATGATCGATACTCACCGATTATAGTAAGATAAACAGGATAACCGATGGGTGGAGTGGTAGATATTTGACACTCGTAAATACCAGTATCTTTTCGTTGCGGATATCGTATTCTAAGAATCCATTCTTCCGGATGTATCTTGTACATCACCTCGAAGCGTTGATCGCTCGTGTAAGTGTATCTGCCAACTGTCAGCAAATGAATATCACGATGCCTGACCCATGAAACCTGAAACAAACAACATAAATATTGTCTTAGATATAATTAAGATAATCAAATCTCTTTAATCACAAATGCTTTTAATTGCAAATTTTATATTCTCTCTAGCAAAAAATAAAAGCTGAATTGCAGTAACCTACAAATATTTGTATTGTATATATTTGTATATATATAAATCTAAAGTTAACAACAGGTTGACAAAAATATGTTAGTTTCTACAATCTATATGAAAAAAAATCTTCGTCGAGTTACCGCGAACTGCACGTATTGCTAACTATCACCGCTCCTCACGCCCTGTTGCTCGTAAGATTGGACGATAAAACTTTATACTCTCCCTTTTCCTAGCCCCGAGAAATTTACGAGTGCAGTAGATTCGCCGCAACTGGAATACTTCATGTCTTTGTTTAATGCTATATAACTCCGTGATGTATGACTACAATCTCGGCACAACGACAATTCTCATACGCTGCAATTATTTATAGACGAATAGGCACGGTAAATTTATTCACCTAGCTTCTATTAGAAATTATGGAACGAAAACGCATAGGCTCGCACGATACATAATATAAAATTGATCATATGATTTTAATGTAACATATCGTATAAATTGTATTAAAGTTACATTGAATTGTATTACAATATCTAGCAATGTCGGAAATAAATTAATCACTAACAAGATTACATTGTTGCATCGATATAATAATAGTAGTAGCGCGAATGAACTTTGTAGGATATAAAGGAAGGATATAAAGTGACATTCGCCAAGTTTGAATGATGTTTGCAAGTTCTTGAAGCCGTTAATTAGAGTGGAATCCAACCAATGATTCGGAACCATGATAACATTGTAACCTGTGCAATTTCCCCACGTGTTGGAAATTACATCGTAACGACGAGCCTGGCACTTTAATAACTTCAATGGTTTTTGCTACTTTAACAGATTACATTAGTCGGCAAACTGTACGAAAAGCGCGCTCGCTGATGATTCATATGCGATTTCGCGAAAATCGTATTCATTAAACTGTACCCGTTATAGCATCTTCCAATGGTATAACTAGAAATAATATCGCTAACTGATTCTCGTTTCGCAGAATACCCAAGCATTATTTATGCAAAAATTGCCACGAAAGGAGACAATGTCAGTTTATTTAACCTTACGTTTATGAATTCATATATACTAATTCGCGATTCATTTAATACTCGGTAATCTGTCTAATCTTTGTTTTAATGCCCCGCATTCAAAATAGCGTCTTGTATTTCATAGAATTGTTCTCGTAAAGATTAATTAATGTGAGCTGTGATGCAAATAAATATCCCTTTCTAAGTCGCAGGACAGAGACAGAGAATCAGTTAAAGCTTTATTATTATATGAAAATTTAATGAAAATGGCGCATAACATTATTTTCCATGCTGCACTGTAATATATGATTGCTCGCGTAATTGGGTTGCACAAATCATGCAGTGTTGATCGACTGCGGAATAAAACTTACGACGCGCGTTTGTATTATCAGAAATATCAACTGCGAAAGCTTTCCATTGTCGGTCTAATATGATTGCCATCCGAATATGCCGGTGTCGCAGTTAATATACTTTTTGCAAAAAGAGAGCGCTGCCTATCTAGACGGTATACTCTCGGGGGAAACTTTTTCCGCGTAATAAAATTCACGATACGCGGACGAAAGAGAAAAAGAATATAATCGTGCACAGCTTCGGCAGAAATATGCGAGTGGATAAAACCCAAGAACGCACTATGTGACTGCTATAACGACGATTGCTGCTCTTCCTTTCTCGAATCTTTTTGCATACGCGGGACCGACTTTCAGAGTTAATATCATCTCAGAGGGTGGCGCTTACTTTTACCCGCCTGGGGCGCAACTTTTTCACATAACTTCATCCTTTTCGGCTTCTTCATATCCTAGTGTTTCCACGAGATTCAGGACTCATGTGCAATTTCACTCGCCCGAGCGACGGAAATTCTATTGACATTCTCACGTGACATTAATCCATATACGTACACGTGTGTCCATATTAATCCAAATGGCGAGGCATTAATACGATGTTGCATCATCATTAGTATCTATTTTAATAGAGTGCTAATTACCGTGGTTGAAGCTTACATGTTATATTTTCCTATCGCGTATACCACCTCTACAGATAAATGCACGATGTCAACGAGATATATTAGACGGTACATAGCTGCGGCTGACATAAATGCGAAGACCGAGCTTTGCATAGAGATGAGACTCCGGGATTAAAACTGTGACCTCTCGACCGAGTCTGCATGAAGACATAGTCTGACAAAGATCGTCCTTTTCTACTTAACCGCTACGATAATCCCCGAGTAGTACCGTGAACCGTTAATACTCGAGATCGAGGACACCCGAAGGTCTCAGAGTGGAAGATAAATTCCCCGAGGGCCGTATCCGCCTTCGAGTTAATTTACCGACTCACTCGAAACACTGATTTAACCGCGGAGGCGAAAAAAATTTGTCTTACAAACTGGCGCGAGCGAAACCGATTTAACTTAATCAACGATAGAAGTCTGAGTCGAAGTTGGAAGCTGGTGGTGGAGATATTGCCATGGTGGCGGCGATAATTACATAACTGAAATAATAGAACAGAATTTTCGCTCCAAGCTAATTCACTCGGAGAGATCTCACTGTTCTCTCTACCTCCTTTACTCCGACATCGCCGTTCGCAACATTCGTTGCATTTTCGTTTTATAATTCATCAATTAATTCCGCAAACAAGAGACGCAGTTGCTCGTAACATTTCGAAATGTCGACGCCGCTAGTCTCGTCATCGTTCTCGAATCCCGTGCATTATTTGGGCAAGCCTATCTCGTCGTGTTCATGGCTTGTCGGTGGTTGTGTTCCTGCCAATATCCGTGTCAAAATCTGAATTGCTACTTAGGAGGATAGATAAGGTTTAAGATTTACTCGGCGAATAATTTTCGCGATAAGAGAACTGATAATTCTAACATAGAAATATGATAAATTTATCGCACTATTACGAATGACTCGATGTCATTTCTTCATGATATATTCACGTAGATATTTTCACGTTTGTGATATAAATATCATAAAAATTTTAACAAAAAGTGAACTCACCGTTCTGTTTCCGAGGTTCTTCACTCTGCACGCCAATTGAACAGTTTCTCCGGCCAAGCCAGTGATATTGGACGGCACTGTTGTGTCGAAGTATGGATCAATTTCCAATGTTGTATGTTCTTGAAAGGTATCCGCCATGAAAATACGCGATTCATACGCAATGCTCTCTGAAAAAATGATTCAAATTTTCTTTATTAATAAAAAAATTCTCACAAATATGACCAAGTTATCATCCTTTATATCAAAAATAAATATAAGAATAATTATGAGTTTCTTTATTTAATAGCTGAAACAACAATTAATAGCGGTATAAAAAGGTGTCATGTCCCCGTTGCACATTCGAATATTACAAATAAAATGATTAAAAATATTTAATATAATCTCCTCTAAATTATTTTGTTTATATTATTGATCATTATTTTGGCAGAGTATAAGATTCGTCAAATGAATAAAAGAAGAACCTGATTACTATAGACTGAGCACTGAAAGAAGTAGAAGTGCACCCGACCGTTTATCTCGGTAATTTTAAATAGAGAAACACGACGACAGGGCCATCGGCACGTCAGATCTATGCGAACGCGCAAGCAACGAAGCTTCGAAAGTACACCCTCGAATAGGTCGTACATATCTCGCCCTGCACTGCGGCAAATGCAATCTCGTGGTGGATATATCTCCCGTGTTCGCGAATCCTGAGAACACGTTGTGCCCGGCACATGTCCACAGAGACGCATACGTGCGTGATGGAAAAGCGAAGTCGTGTCTATTTGTATGGAAGACGTTAGTGGCTTACATATTGCGTCAGGTGATTACCATTCAAATCACGATCTTCCCTAGTGGAAATAGTTCGATGGTATTGCAAGCCGTTCCTTGCACCGATCGAGAATGCGCGGATTTGCGCCTTAAAATGGATTTTACCTGACTCCGGAGAATTGCCCAATAAGAATCGCGTCCGGATGTCCTTTCGGCTTACCGGTCTTAAAGTTCACGCTCAAAAGTTCACGCTTCGATAATGACATGTGAATTAAAAAAGTTGCCAATCTGTTGGCATTAATGTCGTCTGATGTTAATTTTCATGGACTCGATTTCTTTTTATTTATCTCACGAGTATGATTATACTGAAAAGTTGCGGATTAATTGAGAACACGTATATTTAAATGAATTTTTATTCTTCTATAGTTATATTTAGAATTGTGCAATTGGAGGTAACTGAGATGTCAAATTAGGAAAGATTACGTGAAAGGAATTTGTACAATGAATTTATTGGAAGAAACAATGCAGGGGTTAAGAGAATTTATTTCTAAACCATTTTTCGTCGTGTCACCATCCCATTACCGCGATACGCTTTAAATATGCCGTAGAAGCAGGCGTTTCTCGTTCGCGTGCTTGCTCGCGCCAGAACGATCTTTTTTCCTCGGCACAGCAACAGTTTAATCGGCGCGGTGTCTCGTACTTTAATGCAATATACGTTGCGCGAAGCTGTTAAACCGTTAATAAACGATACGGTCGGTTAAAAGCACAAGTCTTTCTCCTGTCGGCACAAGTACCGCGCCCGACTTTGATAAAGTGATAACGATTCCATGCTCTGTATCCTTTAGTTCGTAGACGAGGAGGAGAGAGAAACCGAGATGAGTTTTGCGAGATGAAAGGCCCAACTGAACACAGGGAGGCCAAACGGGGCACCCTCGCCTAAGCTATTTACTCTAATAAGCTTGGCGAGCCCTCAGGAGAGAGAGAGGGTCCACCGAAACTCACAAATTAACCCCTTCCATTCCTAAGTTGTCTGGCAACAGCCAGGGTTTAGCAAGCAGCTAAATTATTAGTATTCCTCTTGCTATTTCGTGATGCTATAAAAGTTTTTTCACTTATATATATATCCTCCCAAAGTAACAGAATTTCTTAGTGCTCTTGACAGTGAGAATGATCTTTTAAATTGCAAAGTTTTGAAATTGAATAAGTATTTTAGAATATAAACATAAATTTTTATTACAAGAAAATAAAGATTACATACATCTATGCTAATGACGATATTTTATATTTTTGAGACTAGATCGTGATATATCCGAATCTAACTTTAAAAGAAATATTAAAGTTTCAATAGGATCTAGATGGTTATTTAGAAAATTGTGCTTTCTCACAAATCGCTATTGATCTACATTTTGTGCATTTCCATGAAACGTGACTCTTGCCAAATCTTCCGCGCCATTGCGACATAAGAAAATTTTGCTCGCATAGTTCGTCGGGAAGAGTTGAAGAGTACTGCCGAATAGAAATGTCGGTATTCGAAAGCAACTCGCAAACGACTTTGGAAACGTCTTTCGTTTAGATCATTATATATGTATACATATATGTATGTATGTATATATATATATATGTATATACATATAATGTACTACATACACACATAATGTAACATATATAATACACATATATATTTTCTTTTAAAGAAATCCCTTTACTTCTTCTCTTTCTTTTAAGAAAAGAAAGAATTGGGGTAGATGAATAGCCATCTGCGCGACGAAAGTCGCGGAGAGGATTTTCTAACCGGAAAAATCGTGCGTAATCGACGGAATAATATTCGTGCCGTTGTTCAAACAACCGGAACTGTTCCTAGTGGGGACAAACGAAGGAGAAAAATGGTCGAGTGAGAAAATAAAGTGGGGCCAAGAAAGTCGACAGCGTTCTTGTAGTACCTTAAAGGAGGGAGGGAAAGAGTAAAAGAAGGAAATCGTCGAAAGACATATGTCGCGAGAATTCCTACGCGAGCCGGTATGCGGTTGAAAATTCCGCGGAAATGGATGTATCGGTGCCGGGCTGCCGGTCGCGACGTTGACGATCGAGGTCGACGGATGCGCACCGTGCTCGTTTCTTTCGGATTTTCGATGCATGCGGAATGCACCGGAGGCGAAACATTATTTACATCTTATGCGAGCGTTGGCAACTCCGCGGATTGAAACCTCGATGCGCTTTGGCTGTAACACTTCGTGAGAAACGCCTGCCGTCAGAAAGAGAGGTCTACACGATTCGCTGCCGAATGTGGAGAACGTTCTCTATATGAGATGACTCCCCTCTTGAAATGTATTGGGGTGGCTTCGTTATTCGAACAAGACATACCAAAATCGAATTCATCCATATATTAAAATGTGTTTTAATTTAAATTATATATATATATATATATATATATATATAATTATGGGCTGATCTGAAGCATATGTCAATTACATTGACATTAATCATATTAATATACATTGACTCGAGATGAAAGAATATTTAACGTATAAGATAATTAATATTTATGTTATCAAATATTAAGATTTTATTAGACTGATTCTAGTGCGCTACCGCTTTCTGTGCATTATTTAAAATTTGAAGTAATATTTTACAAAAAGGAAAATCGCTCTTTCAGCAGTATTCTCATAATGGCTAATAGCATTGTCCTGAAATAATATTCGCTTCGTCTTTAAAGCATGCTTGGCACGTTCGACCAGAAAATGTAGTAAAGTAAAAAATTGAGAAATACTGCAATAAAGCAAGAAAAATATAAGTGCAAATAAAATAAAATATTTATTAATTACATATTTTCATTTTATCTTAGATTTGTTCTATACGTGATATTTGTAACAAGCATACTTTAAATCAAACTTTTTTAAAAATATATTATAAATGATTACTGCTACGATAAATAGCGTTGATGTTAAAACAGCAATTTAATTAAACACAAAATATGCACATTGTTGATAAATATAAAGTAATATACAAAAATTTTATGTTTAAATTTAAACATTTTTTATTTTATTTTTAATGTGCCATTTAAATTCTCAATAAATAATTTTCGATATTAAATATCACAGGAAAGATTTCGCAAAAAGTATCTCGTTTGCGCTTCGTCTTGAAAAAGAGAGTACCCTCGGAGGACGTCGTAAGACGACTGGAAAGATCCCGTGGGAATAATATCCACTCCTCGTTGTTCAAACAACTGGGACGAGAGGTTGGGGCAGGTTAGACGTGGTTGGAAAAAGGAGCAAGAAGTGGAAGGCAAAATGGAGAAGTCAGAGACGTGCTGCTTCGGATAGAGCGTACAATAGAGCGTCATCTACGAAGATGTTAGCAAAACATACATCGAATGTTCTGCGACGAAATATGACACACTAGGAGAAAATATTCTTTCAAAAAGTTTACGAAAAGATTACGAAGCTTATGATAACTGTGATGATGATATAATAATTTATATCATAGATCAATGTATTTCATAGTAACATAATAACATGAAATTAATAAAATTAATGCACATGTCATATTGTTAGATCATAGCCTTAAGATTTTTAAAATCTTTTAAATAACATGTCAAAGACTGAATCTAGAATTAAAAAAAATTAAAGAGTAATATAACAAAGAGATCTTATTAAGTATCTGATATTTGTGATATACATTTTAGAAGTCATTCTAAAGAAGGACAGTACTTTAATATTGGAAACTTAAACGGATTGCATATAGTCGGCTAGCGAAGATCTGTAAACTACTTGGTGGGCTATATCATGAAAGATTATTGAGGAAGAAGAAACTGTCGTTGAAAGAAGTCGTTGAACGACTTGGCGGGTCGCTCGGGAATAATGTTCTCTCTTCTCCTGAACGGGCAGAGAAAGGCGCGGCTAAACAGAAAAGTCGTGGAAGAGTCTCGAGGTACGGATACGAGAAAATGTCCGGGATGTATGTACGTACATACGTCGAAAACCTCAAAAGTACAGCAGAAATTCTGTGAAAACAGACGTCGACGATCGAGGTTGATGGATGCAACGCCCCCGCCTCCGTGCATTTTAGGGCTCGCCGCAAACCCGGGAGTCTGGCTGTGCGAGAAGAATGCATCGCAAGCGAATGCCACTTGCGAGTCTTGCGAGTCTTTCTGCCACGATGACATGGTGAATATCGGCTCTTTTCCTCTAAAATACGCTCGAGTTACTCTCGCGATGGCGCGGTGCCGCATACGTGGCAAACATAATAGAATTTTTGATTTCCGAAACGAGAGGAGGGATTTTGTCGGCGCGCTTTGTCAGAGATTCTCAAGTTTTTCCAGTCAGCGTTGCGAAATGTACGGGGTTCACAAAGAACCGTTCGGTATGAAATAACAAGTATGCTTACCGTATATGCTTCGTTTAATTATTTTACTCTGCGT